GCTTTCTATCTATTACTCGTTAAAGACTACAGACTGGTAGTCGAAAGCTCGTTTTAAACAAATTTTTAACCAGAGATCGTTTTTCTATTTTTCCAAACATTCTTTATTGTCACAAAATTAGGAGGCAAAGAACAATAAAGCGTGACTTCAGCAGATGGTTGTCCAGCATCCCAGAGATTGGTAGTAAGAAATGCAGTGATAACGGAGTAAATATTCGATCAAAGGGTGGGGGGGTAACGATAATAATAATGATGATGATGATGATGATGATGAATACTTTATTTATACTGCAAACAATAGATCAGCTGAATTTAAATATAAATACAGCTGGTATAAACCCTGATAAACTATTTCAAATTAGAAATATAACACAAACAGCGGTGATAAACATTTTAAAAACATGCAAATTAGTGTCAGCAATAAAAAGTATTAAAAACTAAAAGGGAAGGTTTGGTTTCAACAATAACAACATATACATTTATTATATCTCTCAGTTATTATCTGTGCTGTAATTGGTCAATTCAGCAAACTGTACAGTTATTGACTTTGACAACTCTACAATCATCGACAAAGGAAACAATCGCACCAGAAAGACAGTTGAATCATGGCACACGGCCAAAACTGTTGAGGCTGATAACGACTTGTGCTCACTCACGAGACAATATAACATTCTTTTAAACATACACTAAATTTTAGCACTCTAAGCATTCTTCCAAACATTTTTTATACGTGTAATTTTAATTTATGCGAATTACTCTCTATATTCAAATTTTTAACATTTTACTTTATCACCAATTTTTCTTTTTTATCCGTCGAAGACAGTAGACGAAAGCTTATGCTTTTTAGTAATTTTTCCACAGAACGCTATAATCAATTTTATCACCTAAGAATAGTTGGTTAAAATCTAAGTAGAAAATCTTTTAGTTACTGTCTATAGTTTTGAAGGAGAATATATGCCACGTAGTTTTGCGCGCAATGGCAATAGTACTTAACTCGATGTGCACATGTCATTACGTTGGCCTAGAATCAGGAAAACGGCAGATTGACAGTGATTTGATGGATTATGTGACTGCCCCTTTAAAAGGAACGTGATAAGTGAACTCCTCGCAGTAGTAATAATCAGAGGAGAATATAAGTTATAAAAGTTGCTGAACTGCTGCAACTGGAAAGCTCAGTGAGGACTAAAGAAGTCAAATACCAAAAGAGTGGAGACTGTGTGAAGAGTGTGTCGGAGTAAAAGCCAATTTTCCAAAGTTTTCTTCAACACGTTTCTGAAAGCAGATAATTTGAGCAATTATAGACGTTAATTGAAGGTCCTCCTGCCCCTAAACGAATACCGAGACCCCCCTTTTATTTCAAAATCTAAGTTCCCTTGATATAAGCAGGCCAACAGGTCAAGTTTGAAAGAAAATCTATAGTCAGTTTTAAGTCGATGGAATTACCTTGACACGTTATTTGGATAGTTTCCTATGCAACATAATTATACGTCAAAGGTCTACATGCTTGTCCAATTTGGAAATAGTTTCCAAAAAATTCCTCTCCCAGCCAAACTGGACTGGGGTAACGGCCTCGTCCAATTTTGGCTGTCCTTGAAATTTTTTTTTTTCTAATAGCAGATTTGCACGTTGTCGTCATTTCACTACAACTTCGTTTTTTCTTTGTATTAAAATTTTGAATTCCCAGCGGGGTTTAAATAACAATTGCCCTAATTAGCATAAGAAACAGAAAAACTGAAGGATTCTGGTAGTTGTAGTCAAATGACGCCATCATGCAAATTGCCTATTGTTCCCAAAGTGGACAGAATGTAGTTTTATTACGTATAAGCATTATGGCTCCTGGTATAAGCCAACCTCAGCTATCCATTCAGCCTCTCACTTAAGGAAACCACGACGCCAACGACGCCAACGAGAACGTCACTAAACAAAAAGTTTAATGAGCAGAATAATGGCCGTGCACGTGCGTTACAATTCTTTGTACATTTTTTTGCCGTCCTGTGCAAAACAAGAACGTGAAATGACCAAGTTCTGCGTAGTCTGAGGAACGCGAACGACGACGGCTAATTTTTTGTATTTCCATTTGGAGTTGAACGCTGTCATTGCATATTTTGCCTGAGCACGTCTTTAGAGCCATTGGCTTACTGAACAGATCTAGAAAATTACGAATTTCGCTGGTAAAATATAAATTCATTTTTGACCTCGCACCGTCGTCGTCGTTGCTTTAGCCTGCGAGAAGGCTCTCATGTTTTGCGGCAGGAGCTAAGTCGTTTGGGAAGCAAGCCGGTGAGGGGCCTAGCTTCGCTCGTCGACAGCTTTGCTCGTGCCACCGACGATGAGAGCCTACTCGCAGGCTATCGTTGCTTAAGCTCCCTTTTAAAAGCTTATCTTGGCCGCGCACATTTACACGTACAGATTATCTTCCAAAGTGCCCGTCGAAACTTTCTTGTGCACAGCGCATAAACAATCGGATTGATCAGCGAATACAGAAAACGTAAACTATATGCTATGAATTCAAATTCGTCAGTAATAACACAGCGTTTTCCACAAAATTGAACCATGTTTACCAACACCTTGTAAGGTGTCCAACATACCATCAATAACCCAATCAGGATAGCCACACAACGCATAACGCTCCTCTCTCTTCTTTTTATCTTTTCCATCTCTCGAGCATTTTCTGTTAAACTTTGTCGCTCTTCAAAACCGGCTTCAGTCTTTAAATTTCGATAACAGCCTTTTCTCACCAGAAAGAACATTCTTGCGTAACAGGAGCATATTATGAAGAACGACGGGATGCAGACAGCATCGGTAATGACCACTCTGTTTCTGAAAATTGAATCCCACTGAAGCTCGGGAAGGAATGTCATCAACCCAGCGAAGAGCCAGATGCACAAAAATCCAAGTGTTAGACTAGTGTACGTCAAATAATCTGCACTCTTTAACGGGAAAGAAATCACAATCAGTCGTTCAACTGCAAGGCCCAAGATTGTCAGACCTGAGGAACTAAAACCAAGATTCACTGCCATGTCCGAGGCGCGCAAAATGCTTTCGTATGGAAACCAATATTGAAGAGCGATAAGTAACTCGCCCGGAATACCCACCAACAAGTCACTAACGGCGAGGTTTAAGATCAAGTAGTTTGGAATTGCTTTGAGGTTGTTCAATGGATCTTTCCATATTGTTACTATAACTAAGGAGTTTGACACCACGGTCAGCACAGAGAGCGGCAGGAGGAGTGCGACATCAGCTATGGAAACTTGGTCTGAAAAATCAAACATCAGAAAACAAGAATAAGCTTGAAGTTTGAGAGCCTGCATGAGTATTAAAACACGTGTTTTTCTTTGCGTGCAGTAAACAGACCAAGGCGCCATAATTTTTAGTCTCGCAATTTTTATCGGGGCTGCAGCGCGCGAAGAGCGCGAGCGGAGATATAAATAATAACTACTTATTAACCGAGAGTGGGGTCTTTACGGGAAAATCTCAAACCGAGACCTTGCCGTATATCGCTCGGTCAAGACGGCAAGGCCGAGACTTGAGATCTTCCCGTAAAGACCTCACTCTCGATTAATAAATTGTTTATTATATGGCTTTTTGCTTTGATTTTGCGAGCTCGTAATCGGCCCGTGGGCATTACGGGAGAATAATGTCCTACAATTGGCCAATCAGAGCGCTCGTTATATCGGCTACAAACACAAGCAATATAATAATAGACTTTCTAAAAGTCCTTTCCAATAATTCTTCCTGGCCTCTTAGTTTCGTCGTTGGAAAGGACTTTTCCCACTTGCAGCGCGCCAAATTTTACCGGTGGATTTTTCCACCCGTGACGTAAATACGCATTAAACAATGAACAAACAAGTACTGACTATACGTCATGACATCGCGCGCGATCAACGACACAACTCGCAGAACAAAATTAGTGTCTACTGAGTTCAAGTACTATAAAAATCTTTTTCATTCAGATTTTGTTCTCGGATATACTTAAGGATATGAATTTTATGGAAGCAATTGAATATGGTCTATCCAACTTATTTCAAGTCTTTGAAAGAAGGACAGGGAAAAGCAGTGGAAGGCTATCTACCCGACCAACACGTGTTTGTTTACTTACGGACGCGATCTGAGCTCCTGCGTGATCCGGATCGTTTGAGAGGATTAAGTTTGGACCTCTCCAAGACGAACAGAGCCGTTCCTGCAGTTTGCGAATGACCAAGTTTCTTTTCTACAAAGAAAGGGCATCGCAGCAAATTTGCATCCACCGTTTTACCGACTTCACCGTGTTGAAAGCACTCGTCGGTCGATGAACGAATTTTGGGAACAGCGCTTTTATTCTCTGCCGTTCGTTGTGACTTCGATTCACAACGTTATTTAATCAAGAGTGCTTTACAGAATAAAAGTTCTCCCCGACTAATTCCGTCTTCTTTAGTTAATTCGGATTCTTGTCGGTACAAGCTACATCTACATAAGCCTATAGCATTTGTCTGGCAGTTCTCTGGTCGACTAAAACAAATAATTCAAGATCGGTTTAAACACGGTTTTGTCTTTTCAGGAGGCGTTAATCAATGGAAAAGCTTTTGCAATTTGTCTGCTGACTACATGCTGCACTGTACACAAATAAATTCATTTGAGTGAAGGAACAGTAATCGTAAACGTTTTGATGGAAATCATTTTCTGCTCTCGCGACGATCGCGCGCGGAGCACATGAAAAGTGAGAAATGTCAATC